GGGCGTGTGCGCTCGCCAGACAGACAGAGACAGAGAGACAGAAAGCGAGAAATCACCACCCAGGGGGGATGGTCACGTTGCAATCGCTTCTCCTCCATTCTCCTCTCGGTATCTTGGGCATGCACACACATGCGCCCGGCGTGAGTTTTAAGCCACCGGGTCCAGGACGTGAACCGCGGTCGACTACATGGGAGTCCAGCGACATAGCCATTATGCTAACTGCTGGTCCCACAAAAATCTTTCTTTAAAAAAAAAATCGGGACCAGCAAATGGTGTAATGGCTACGTCGCTGGACTCTCACATAGTTGACTGCGGTTCGAGTCCTGGTCCCGGTGGCTTAAACTCATGCTGGGCACGTGTGAGTGTGTGCCCAAGATTCCAAGAGGAGAATGGAGGAGAAGGGATTGTGGCATGGCCATCCCCCTGGGGGGTGATTTTTCACTTTCTGTCTCTCTGTTTCTCTGTCTTTCTGGTGAGTGCACGTGCCCTATAGAAAAAAGCTCTCCAAAAAAAAAAAAAAATCCTTGGTGAGGAACTTTCTAAGTTATCAGGTAGACCTTTGACCTATTAGTGCACTTAATTCTGGTTTTAGCAAATGAGCAGTCAATAAAGACTGTTTCCATAGTGAGTGCCACAGAGCAGTCTTCATCCGTGATCTTCTATCTACTTGTCTTTATGCACTCCCAGATTCCATGCAAATTTAGTTTCAGTTCTTTTGAAAGATGACACTTTTGACATTTGATGCCTGTAAAATGTTTGATGGTGGAAAAGTGAGAGCAATAAAAAGAGTACTCCTCCTGGTTCACAGAGATAGTAAAAGATCATTTGTTAGATTTATTATTATAAAGCACATTTTTTGGCAACCTTTCTGTTACAGAAACATTCAACAACTTGAATGCCAAATATATTTAGTTTAAGATGTTTTGTTTGTTTGCTTGCTTGTTTGTTTTGTGGTAGGGGTTTTTGCCTTGTGTGCTTGCTGTAGAGAGAGAGAGACAGAGATAGAGAGAAAGTGAGAATTTACTTCCCAGAGGGGATTGTCACATGGCAATCTCTTCTCCATTCTTGTCCTGGGATCTTGGGCACACATGCACATGGGCCTGGTGTGAGTTTCAAGTCACCAGGTCCGGGACTCTAACCGCAGTCAGCCATGTGGGAGTCCAGCAATGTAAGCACAACGCCATTTGCTGGCCCCTAGTTGAGATTTTCTTATATGAATAAGTCCATTTGAGCAGTCTGTTCTTTAAGGGACCTTAAGAGTTTATCTGCATAGTCATTTAATCATCTAGTTGTATTGTCTTAAGCTATTTTAATATTTCTGATATGTATGTCATATCTTTCCCCATCAGACATGTGAAGGGAATGACAGCACTTTAGTTCCTTTGTGATCACTGCAGCATTTGGGATTGTGACAGCATTGTACCTAGTAGTTAGCTTATGAAGGCTTTAAAGGGTTTCTCAGTGGATAAGGAGTATTCATCATCTTTGTAGAGAGATGTGGGGAGAAAGCTGACAAGAAAATCTACAGTAGCCTTTTGTGCATTTCTTTAAAAAAAAAAAACAACGAATTATTTTGTTTAACTTTATGTATGTATGTATGTATTTAATTTGACCAGAGAGGAACAGAGTGAGAGAGAGAGAGAGGGAGGGAGGGAAAGTGAGAAAGCAAGCCACCAAGTCTGGGACTTGAATTGTAGTTGGCTATTTGGGAATTCAGCATCCTTAGTCACCACCCCACCTGCCAGTCCCCTTTTCCACATTTTTTAGGCTTTGGCCGTTGGTTGTCTCTGGCTAGAGCATATTTCTATATTCTCTATTAATAGACATTGTTACATTTGGTTAAGGGACTTTATATTAGCTTTATCCAAAAGTGAAGATTTTTTTCAGAATGCTGATAGGAATCGCCCAACAGCCGGCCTACAAAAGCATGGATGAACAAATCAGATATCTGTCTCCTGGGTGTGTAGTCTCTGTGCTTGTCTACATTTCTGGGGTTGAGAGTTTTTCTGCAGAATTCTCTTTGTGTTCTTGTTGGAGTAGATTTTCCTACGTGGAGGGGAAAGTGCCCTCCAAAGCTAGTCTACTCACATTGACTCTGGAAAATAGCAGGGACATCTGATGGCTTACTGTTAATTCATTTAGGTTGTTGGGAAAATCGTCATCTGTTTTTCTATGCAAAAATACATCATGACTTTCCAGGCAACCTAATACATGAAGTATGATCAGGGATTCATAATATTTGGGCCCAGCCTGGTGGCATGGATGATAGAAAATGAAACTGCAGTGCTAGAAGCCATATGGCTGGCCGTGTGTTCAGATCCCTCGTCAACCTGAAAACATGCTGGGACTGCATGCACAGGCCTAAGATCCTGAGGAACTGGAAGGTTATGGGAAGGGGACTGTGGTATGATGAGACCCTGTTGAGGGTACATGTGCTCTCTATCATGAATAAAAATAAAAAATAAACTTGAAAAGAGAGAGAATGAAAGGTCTCTAAAGAACTTAAAAAGATACTTGTTTTTTCTGATGATAAAAGTAATGTACATTCATTGTATAAAAGAATAATAGCTATAGACAAGAAAAACAAATCTATTCGCATATTATCTAAGTATTATCACTGTTACCATTCTGGGATTTTTTTTTTCTTTTGAGTTTTTTCCATTGCACGTGTATGCAAACAGAAATCTCAATTATTTTTAAACATTTAATTTGTTTAGTTCTCTAAGGAAATAATGCCAGGATTATGACTGTAAAAGCCGGATAACAGC